GACCAACAAACAAACAAAACCCGAACAACCAAACACCAAAACCTCCAGCTAAGTTTGATTCTTAAATCCATCTCTGTTTATGGAATGTGACCCAGGGATGTTGTCTTTCTAAAGACATTTTCACAGAAAGAAGAAAATTGTAAAAAAAAGCTATGTGTGGATAATGAAAGGCTTTATCTGATATCTCAATTACTCCTGCAACTGAAGCACTGCCAAAAGTTTTTGTTACCCCTCTCTTCCCTCCTCAGGGGAGAGTGACAACTGCATTTTCAATAGGAGAACAACAGATGAGACTCAGTTAAAGTAAACAAGAGAGTAACAATTCTGGTCCCAAGTGTTCAAGTGAATTTCAAAACATTACCAGGAATTAGTTGGAGTTTGTTTTCTTATTGAGTATTGCAAGTCTAAAGCTGTCCTCCCCGCCCTGAGCCTGCACTTCAGCCCCAAAATCCATCAGCACATGCCCCGGTACAATTAAATGATTCTCAAAGCTACCAGACAGATAAGCACAGAGTAAGTGCCAAAATAACTTACTTGACGAGGACCAGAATCCCAAGTGTGGGGATCGACTTCAGAAAACATGGACTTGGGTTTTATTCTCCGTGCTTTGAAAAGGTGTCAGATTCAACGTCTAGTCATTTACCACAAATGTACAAGCAAGCGCTGGTTCCCACGAGAATCGCGCTTTGCGGGCTATTTGCAGACACTAAACTTAAAAAAAAAAAAAAAGCAATAATCCAGAATGGCTGTATCATGTGTGCCCTCCAGGATACTGTCTAGCATAACTTGACCCTTTATAACGTTACAAGACAGTACAACGCCCTCCAGATGAATTACACCGTGCAGAATTTGTATTTACGTGTGATGCTATCACCACGGTTGAGACTGTAGTACTATTGACTCTCTTGTAACAGAAAATGAGTGGAAAAACAGCTGCCAACTCCCTGCAGTTTTTGAGAGGGTGCCTAGTCCTTGGTTATCTTACGGCAGTAATTCAAGATTTATGCTTGAATCTTGACCGGAAACATGCAGGTGAAAATCTGGGCTATGAGCGTGAACCTTCTGCATTCCCACTTAAGAAAAAGGGGAAAAAAGCAGCAGAGTACCCTTTGCATGACTCCACTAACTACCAGATGCAGCCTCCAGAAGCAAAGAATTTCTACTTTTATTTGCCCTTTAACTTCCACGAGGACAGTACCCCCTAAAGGTGATAATTAGCATCAACAGATTTTCTCGATGTGGACATCTCTTATGGCACCTGGGCACAATAGTGGGAATACATAATTCAAAATGTCACTCAGCAATCTACTTTGGAATAATATTAGTTGTACGCTCATTCTCCTGTTTGACAACTCAGAACATTCTTTGGCTCAAAACAGGAAAATGAAAGGTATTTCATATAGTCTTGTTGGGGAGGATGGCAAAACCTGTAACATTTTCCGACTGTTTCAGGAAAGGTCCCTATCAAATGAAATAAGGTTGCTGTCTTTCACCTGGTTTTCACTCAAAAATTAGTAAATTTCATGTGGATTTCTTAAAGTCCTCAACATACCTGCCCCAAAATTTTATCTTATTAAGTAAAAAGTAATGCAGCTTAACATGAACTAGATTGAAACAGAGGAGAACAAAAGGCATGGGAAAAAACAACAACCAACAAAACCCCCCCCCCAAAAAAAAACCAACAACAACAAAAAAAAAAACCACAAAAAAAAAAACCAACCAAAAAACTGACCAACAAACAAACAAAACCCGAACAACCAAACACCAAAACCTCCAGCTAAGTTTGATTCTTAAATCCATCTCTGTTTATGGAATGTGACCCAGGGATGTTGTCTTTCTAAAGACATTTTCACAGAAAGAAGAAAATTGTAAAAAAAAGCTATGTGTGGATAATGAAAGGCTTTATCTGATATCTCAATTACTCCTGCAACTGAAGCACTGCCAAAAGTTTTTGTTACCCCTCTCTTCCCTCCTCAGGGGAGAGTGACAACTGCATTTTCAATAGGAGAACAACAGATGAGACTCAGTTAAAGTAAACAAGAGAGTAACAATTCTGGTCCCAAGTGTTCAAGTGAATTTCAAAACATTACCAGGAATTAGTTGGAGTTTGTTTTCTTATTGAGTATTGCAAGTCTAAAGCTGTCCTCCCCGCCCTGAGCCTGCACTTCAGCCCCAAAATCCATCAGCACATGCCCCGGTACAATTAAATGATTCTCAAAGCTACCAGACAGATAAGCACAGAGTAAGTGCCAAAATAACTTACTTGACGAGGACCAGAATCCCAAGTGTGGGGATCGACTTCAGAAAACATGGACTTGGGTTTTATTCTCCGTGCTTTGAAAAGGTGTCAGATTCAACGTCTAGTCATTTACCACAAATGTACAAGCAAGCGCTGGTTCCCACGAGAATCGCGCTTTGCGGGCTATTTGCAGACACTAAACTTAAAAAAAAAAAAAAAGCAATAATCCAGAATGGCTGTATCATGTGTGCCCTCCAGGATACTGTCTAGCATAACTTGACCCTTTATAACGTTACAAGACAGTACAACGCCCTCCAGATGAATTACACCGTGCAGAATTTGTATTTACGTGTGATGCTATCACCACGGTTGAGACTGTAGTACTATTGACTCTCTTGTAACAGAAAATGAGTGGAAAAACAGCTGCCAACTCCCTGCAGTTTTTGAGAGGGTGCCTAGTCCTTGGTTATCTTACGGCAGTAATTCAAGATTTATGCTTGAATCTTGACCGGAAACATGCAGGTGAAAATCTGGGCTATGAGCGTGAACCTTCTGCATTCCCACTGAACTCTGCAAGAGCTGCAGATGCACAAGAAATGCAAGATCTCATCCCAGGTATGTAGCAGGGTAGGAGGTCTCTGAGACAGAGTTTTTTTGGTTATGCACAGCACAGTTTGCGTGGCATCCTCTTCAAGGTGCAGGCATGCATCCACCGTCCTTCAGCCTCTGGCACAGAGTTCACTTCACACAGCTTGTGTGTTGCT